CCGCTGGGGACCCCCCCCATCTTGCACTCCCCCCCTCCGACCTGCCCTCGTGTCTGCAGGCAAGATGTGTGACAAGCCAGACCTCTCGGAGGTGGAGAAATTCGACAAGAGGAAGCTGAAGAAAACCAACACGGAGGAGAAGAACACGCTCCCCTCCAAGGAGAGTGAGTATGGCCCTGTGGTGGCCAGGGCATGGCTCTAGCACGGCCCTTAATCTGGCCAGGGTGCCTGTCACCGGTGGCACTCAGTGTCTGGGCAGCCCCTGGTGCAGCCCTGGGAGCAGGGTACAGAGCTACAGAGCTGGCCACCTCCCTGGGCTGCCCAAGTGGCCCTTTCCCCGTGGGAAGCGTGCCATGCCGGAGCGGGTGTCTCGCCTGCTGACCTCACTGCTGAGGAATCCGGTGGGGAGAAGCATTTTTGGTCAGTTTTACTTTTTCTTTCTTCTGGGTCCAGAGCCCTGGAGAGGCAGGGCTGGGGTCTGCAGAGACCTTGGATGCCTGGGAGGACTCTGCTACCCCCGTGGCAGCAGGTACCTTCTGGGGTGCAGAGCAGCTGCCCCAAGCTTGTGCTGGGGCTTGGCTTCCCTAAGGGAAGCAGAAGGCAGATGCCCAACTTGCTGTCACTCATGAATGTGTCCCCCATTGCCCTCTGACTTGATGTGGTTATCTACCTGCTTGGGTCAGACTCAAATTGGGTGCCAAAGCCTGTGGTTGCTCTGCAGCCTTCTCCAGTGGGTGTTTCTCTGAAAAATTCAGAGATTAATGGAGTGTCTCTTCTCTTTCAGCCATTGAGCAGGAGAAGGAGTGTGTGAAGTCTTCCTAGAGTGAGATGGCCTGGCAGGAAGAGCCAATGCTTATTTTTTTTGCTTTGAATTAAATCATCTGTTTTTTAAATTTACATCATCTATGTGTATAGAAAACAGCTGCATCTAACCCACTGTTCCAGCTTGCTGACAGCTTCTGCAGCTGGAGGGGGACAGACTGTGGTCCCCTCTGAATCCATTGGTTGCCTGACCTGACCCAGCCCTGTCCTTGCTGCCCAGCTGACTCCTGTTTTTAGCACTGATCTTGCTCGAGTGCAGTGGGGAGATGAGCAAGGGCTGTGGAGCTCCTGGGGATGGACCCCTCTGGCATGGGGAGTGGGGATCCTTTCTGATCTGGCCTGTGGCCTGGATCTGTCTTGCATAATCTTCACTGATGGTGTTCTGTAGCCTCACTCACAATTTTTGTCTTCCTTGGGGGAAAAATGAGAAGTTTATTATAAAATAAAAAAAATCTAATGATCTACCTATGGTTTGTGGTTTCTTACCTGGTGGAGGGTGCGGGCTTGCAGCCTGGCTTGCCCAGTGGGGTGGGAAGGTATTTTGGTGCTGTAACACTGTGGGGTGTTGGTGTTTCTCAAAGGGCCACAAGATGGTTCCCTGGATGGTGGGTCCCAGCTTGTGTGGGGCTCAGCTGCAGGTGGCCTGGGGTGAGCCAGAGCTGAGGGCAGCACTGGTGGTGTGCTCTGGGGCTTTTGTGGAGGCCAAGCCGGGAGCTCCTGTGCTGGTGCGGGAGGGTCTGATTTAGTCTCAGGACTTGGGGAAAGGATGCTGTGCTTCCTCATGTATTTGTGCAGCGGGATGCCCTGGTGCAAGGCTGGGGCCTCTACCTGTTCCAGCAGCCCCTCACCACAGCACTTCCCTGGTGCACCCTTAGGGAAAGCCCATTCCTCCTGCCCTGTGCTTAGGTGTCCTCATCACCTGGAGGCTGCTTGTTGGTTGCACCTCCTGGTTTTGGAGTGCAGAGCGATGTCCTCTGCCTAAAACATCACTTGTGGACCTGGGCTGGCTTTGCCTGGGAGGCTGGGAGTGTAGCTGCTGGCCCAGCTGCTGCTGGTGCTCCTGGCACAGCCCTCCCCTTCAGCTCAAGCCAGCCTCAGCCCTTGGCTCGGGGAGGTTTTTCCAGACTTGCATGGATGGCTTAATAGAGCTGACCCTTGGGGTGCCTTCTGTGCTGTTTGAAGTGCCTGCCTTGCAGGAGCAGAGGTCCCCGTGCCTTGTGGCAAGGGTTTGGCACAGCAAGGGGGGACCTGGGGCTGCTGGTGACCCCCCGCGTCTGAGTGCTGAGGGTTCCCAGTGCCGTCAGGGTTTCCTCACCTCCCTGTGCCCTCCAGAGCCATGGAGGAGGTGGAGATGGATTTGCCAACCGATAATTTTGGCTGGTGTCCCTGGAAAGCCTGGTCGGCCGGAGAGGAAGGTGGAGTGGTCGGACCCACCTGGCCCCGGCGCCTCCCGCCTGTGCGGACCGGCCGAGGGGGC